ATAGAATAAATGGGGGCAAGGCAGGATAGGATTAAGGGAAATAGAGTTAGTTTTTCACAACATGCCTACTGTGGAACTGTTTTGCATAATTGCACGTGCATAACCTATACTGAGTTGCTTGCCTTTTCAGTGAGGGTGGGTGGGGAGGGAAGAAGGGAGAAAATTTGGAACCCAAAGTTTTAAAAACACATATTTTAAAAAAATGTTTTCACATGCAACTGGGAAATAAGAAATATAGGAAATAGGGTACAGAAGTCTATCCTGCCCTATAGGAAAATAGAAGGGGAAGGGGATAAGAGAAGGGGGGGGGAGAGATAGAAGAGAAGGCAAACTAGGGGAAGGGGTATTCAGAATGCATGCCATCTTGGGGTGGGGGGAGGAGTGAGATGGGGTGAAAATTAGGAACTCAAAATCTTGTGGAAGTAAATATTGAAAACTAAAAATAAATAAATTTATATTAAATTTAAAAAAAAAGAAAACCTGATATGTAAAAATCCAAAAAAAAAAAATACTTGGCATATTAAGCATTTAATAAATGCTTATTTTCCCTTACCCCAAGGCCAACTTGTGCCCTTGATTCTCTTCCTTCTCATTTCCTCTGGGACCTTGTTTACTCTAATCTTCAATCTCTGTTTATCTGCTCGGTCTTTCCATGTTGTCTCCTCCATTAAAATGTAAGCTCCTCAAGAGTAAGGACTACTTTCATTATTGTATGTATCCCCCATGCTTTGTACAATGATTTGTACATATGAAGCATTTAATAAATGCATTTTCATTTATTCATTCAACATAGCTCCTGATTGGTCCTTGGGTATATCTGTGCCTGAGGAGATGAACAAAAAAGGGACTGGTGACTGAGCCAGGAAGAGCCACCCACTCTGTTGACCATAAGAAGAAATAAGAAATGGGCCCTACACAGACAACACCAGCTCTCCCCTGGACTTCCATTGAGGTAGAAGAAAAAAAAGAAGAGGAAGAAATTTCTCTCCCTTCCCCACCCCCCAGCCTCATTACATTTCCTAAAATGCAACAGAGATTTGGAAGTAGCTCTGCATGTTAGCAGACTCTTAGTTCAGGTTCAGTTTTGGTACAAAATGAAATATTCAAAAGTCAACAAGTCAACAAAAGGAAGCTTAAACTTCTAGGTCTGTATTCCAAAGAGATCATACAAATGGGAAAAGGACCCACATGTACAAAAATACTTATAGCAGCTCTTTTTGTGGTGGCAAAGAATTGTAAATCAAAGCAATGCCCATCAATTGGGGAACGGCTGAACAAGTTGTGGTGTATGAATTTAATGAAAAACTATTGTGCTATAAGAAATGATGAGCAGGCATCCGCCATAAAAACCTGGTAAGAGTTATATGGACTGATGCCGAGTGAAGTGAGCAGAACCGGAAGAACTTTGTACACAGTAACAGCCACGTTGTGAGATGACTAACTTTGATAGACTTAGCCCTTCTCAGCAATGCAAGGATCCAAGACATCTCCAAAAGTCTCATGATAGAAAATGCTATCCACATCCAAAGAAAGAACTATGGAGTTTGAGTGCAGATCAAAGCATACTATTTGCTTTTTTTTTTCTTCTGTTTTATTTTCTCTTTCTTGTGGTTTCTCTTATTGGTTCTAATTCTTCCCTACAACATGACTAATGTGAAAATATGTTTAATAGGAATGTATAGGTAACACCTATATCAGATTATGTGCTGTCTTGGGGAGGGAGGGGAAGAGAGAGGGGGAGAAAAATTTGAAACTCAAAAGCTTATGGAAGTGATTGTTGATAAATCAAAATAAATTAATTTTTAAAAAAGAAGGCTTAATATATCTTAACACAACAAAGGATACAGTGGACACGGACAAGGCTCAGCTCATCTTCATATGGAAACTCATCTAGTCATCAGGGCATGATATGGTAGAGGACATAGTGACTTATGTGGTCTTCAGAAATCCATCAAGTCACAGAGGCCTTGACTGCTGCCAACTACCCACTTTTTATACTTTAGGATATCAGGAAGTTGCATCAAAAAGCAGGGCCAATTAGATTCTAAAGCCATCTTTGCCCACTTTTGGGGGGAAAGCTAATCCCTAAGTATTAGGAAAGGATTACGGGCCTAGCCCCACCCCTCCCCCACACTCCAGTATGTGGCATAAGTGTGACATAAACTCAGGTCTTTTTCACTCCAAGGTCAGTTCTCTATCCAGTATATCACAATGCCTCACTTACCTCATAAATTACTAAAATTGTAACACTACTCTTGTTGATTAGTCAACTAGCTCTGTGGCATATATACATACATATATATGTATACATATATATGTATACATATATAGATATAGATAGATAGATGATATCCACAGTCTCTGTGGAAAGAACTATATAAATTAGGATTACATTAAGTATTTCTCAACCAGAATGTCACCTTTCTGAAGCTAACCCCAACACAAACTAGATGGTTAGATGCCCCAACATTAGATAATCCCAAGGTCAAGGTACTTTATGGGTACCCCTACTGGTGCATTCATCTTTAAGAGTCAGCCAGTTGACACAATTAACAAAAGCATTTATTAAAATGGCTTTGTATGAAGTAGTAGAAGAACACCTCCTTCACAAACCTGGAGTGTACTCTCCCACAAATACATGCTACGTCAGTTGGAGGAATGGGCAAATACACAAAAGTACAATAGTAGAGAGGAACATATACAAAGAATACATATAGTGAAAGCCACTCACACCTCTAGCACTTTAGGATAGCGATGTCCTTTCTCTTTTCTTGGTGCCTTTATGCAGCTCTCCCTAGAGTAACATCTCTGATACAGCATCATTCAACTGGACCCCCTGGACCTATTCTTCTCTGCAGCTGTATTCCTCCTGACTGCCAAGCCTAACTTCCTCCCAAGTTGCTGCCTGAGGAGCTCAGTGTCTCTTATTTGTCATGTTGATCTGCTATATAGCCAAAAAGAGCAGTGCAAGAAAAATCCCTCTACCTCCTCTGTACTCCAGACAAAGGAAAAGGCAAATTCCCAGAAAAACTGCCTGCCCCCATTGCTTCCACTTTTCTACTTCCCACAAATTTCTCACCTCCTTGCAAACTAGTTTGTGATTTGACCGCTCAACTGAAACTGCTTTCTTCAATGTTACCAGAGGTTACGTTCAAGTCCTGCTCAGATATTTACTTAGCTTTGTGATGCTGGGCACTTTGCTTAACCTTTCTGAGTCTCAGTTTCCTCATCTGTAAAATAGTCATAATAATAGCACCTTTCTCACAGGGTTATTTTGAGGACTAAATGAGATAATATCTATACAGTAGAAAGTGCTAATATAAATGCTAATTATTATTATCTCTTAAATGCCAAATCCAATGGCCTTCTGTCAGTCTCTAACCTTTTGACCTAACTGTAATCAAAAAGTAGAAAAAAGAACTCACACTAGTAACTTCCTAGTTACTCCTCACTTGGTCAACTTTTGTAACACTACTCTCTCTTCCTCCTCCTACCTGTCTGACTTTACTCCTTAGTGTCTTTTGCAGGGTCATTATCCATGTCCTTTCCCTAAATATGAGTGCACCTCAGACCCTTTTCTTTCTCTCTATTCTCTCTCTCTTAGTGATCTCATCAGTTCCCAGGGTTTCAAATATTATTTCCTTGCAGATAACTCCCAAATCTACATATATCTAGGCCTCATTTCTCTCCCAAGTTTCAGTTTCATGCTACTAACTGCTCTCTGGGCTCTTACACCTAGATGTCTCATAATTCCATATGTCCAAAACAGAGCTTATTATCTTTCCCTCAATACCTGTTCCTTACCCCAACTTCCCTCTTCTTGTTAAGGACATTAACACCCTTCCAATCATTCTGATTCAAAACTTCTGACTCATTCTTTACTTCTCCCTCATCCTTCTAATCTAATCAGTTGCCAGGTTTTGTCAATTCTACCACCACAGCATGTTTCATCTGTCCTCTTCATTTATGTAGGCATCATCTGCCTCATTATCCCTCAACTACTGAAATAGACTCCTAATAGGTCTCCCTACCTCCAGTCTATCTCTTCTCCAATCTGCCTTCCATATAGCTTCCAAATTGGTATTTCTAAAGCACAAACTTGACCAAGTCACTCTCTTCTGCTTGACAATTTTCTCAACTTCTCTATCGCCTCTAATATAAGATACCTACTCCTTTGGATGGCATTTATAGCTATTCACAATCTAGGTCCATTCTACCTTTCCACACTTATTTCACATTACTACCCCTAATATTATATTTTTCAGACAAATTGGCCTTTCTGCTGTTCCACAAACTAAATATTTCGTTGTCACCCCCCATCACCCTCCCCCTTAGCCCCATCAGTATCTTGATATAGGCTACCTCGAATGCCTGGGATGGGTTCCCTTTTCACTTCCACCTCTTGTATCTTTAGCTCCCTTCAAAAAACAGGTCAAGTGCTCTGTCCCTCACTCCTAACCCTTCCCCCCATTACTTCGTGTATAAATTCAATGGACTGATCAACAAGAATTTAAGCATCTACCATTTGTCAGACGCTGTGCCGGAGGGGTGAGGGGCTAGGGGGTAGTTGGGGAGGGTTGATTTTGGATCCTTCCATTTTCCTGTACATTTCTTGAAGTCTGTATCGTCACAGTCTCACATACTACCTTGTATATAGCAAGTTCTTAACCAGTGCTTGTAGGATTAAATTGAATTAGAAAAAAATTTGAAATTTGGAGGCGATTCGGAATCCCTAACCTGTTATAACTCGTCACCTTTGGCAACTAATTTTGTGTCTTTGGCCTCAGTTTTCCCTTTCTGTTAAAATGAAGGGGGAAAGGTGGTGTTGGACAAGACGACCTCCAGGCTCCCTTCCAGTTATAAACCCTCTGATTTAATGAAGGGATGGAAGAAGAAATGGGAGCATTGATGCATTCATGTCCAAGATTTTGGAATATGCTACATATAGCTTGACTCAACTCCCAGGGAGCTCCTGCCGCATTTGTGAACTCTATTACACTACATCTCGGCTCAGTTTTCTCGTGCGTTCTATCATTACATTCGCGTACCCTCCCCCACTCATTATCAACCACATTTTGGAAAACGAGAAATTCAGACAGGAAGCTTCGACTCTGCCTCCGCCTACTTCCTCAAAACCACCACGCAAACACCCTATAGATATCAGGCTGCTGACGTCGCTGTCGTCGCATGCTCTCGGTACATTACAGTCTCCTAATGTACTTACTATACCCACCCTCCCCACCAAAAAAAAAAATTAGAAAATTCAAACTGCAACAAATGGCCAATAAGGGAGAAGGTGGTAAGTGGTAGGAGGAAGAGAGAAACTCGTAGGGAAAGGGGAACTTGGGGAGGGGAAGGCTAAAACACGGCCACAGAATTAGGGTTTTTTTCTTATATTGCAGGGACTCAGAAAGGCTTCAACCCAGGTTGCAATGTCTCGCGAATCCACCTTAAATCTGAAAATGTACGCTGCGCCGGGGGTCACTGAAATCAGCCAATGCCGATCGAGTTCACTAGCACCACCGTGGTACGGGGAAGGAGAACCGAGAAAAATAAATAACCACACCCCCCCTTCTTCCCTCCTCCCTACCCGAAGCACCAGCACCCCACCCCGCCCCGCCAAAAAGAGCGTTTGTAAGCAAAAAAGAAAAAAAAAGTTTTGCAAAACGGCCGGAGGAGACTGGTTTCTGGGGCTTTTTTTTTTTAAGGAAAAGAAGGAAAAGCAAGAAGGACTCATCCCCAACCCAGCGCCATGATAGTTGCTACACTTTCCCGAGGTGGAGAGGTTACAATGATGCAATCTTTGGGTGCGTTTGCTCGGAGTTATTTTTCCCTTGCCTTTTATTTGCATTTCTTTTGAGACTCGTGGAAAGACTTCGAACCTCCGGCGACTTTTTTGCACTAATTCCTACGTGTACACACATTTGTACACACGCACATTATTAATATATAGGGCCGTGTACACAGACGTACATATTAATGCCCCCTTCTCACTGCCCGATTGGCCTGGAGATCCCAGAGTCACTGGTCCTCCTTCTGGCACTTGCATGGCATCTGTAAAAAGGGTCCTTACCCGATTACCAAATTCACCCCTAGGGTCCTCGGGACTTGGAGGAGAGGGGTTCTTTGTTTTCCCCCACTCCCCTGGGAAGACTTTTTCTTTTTTCTTTTTTTTTTTGCCAGTTGGCCCGAGACAGGGCGTGGTTCAGGTGGATCATATGGCTGCCTTTAATTTTGTTTAAATTCATTCTTTTAAAAGTTAATTGTTCACCCTAAAGAAATATTTATTTTTCATCTTTTGAGACACAGAGGTTTAAGGAGACAGACTGCAAATAAAAACCAGGAACGACTGCGCAATGAAGACTTCCCTCGGTTGTCCGGAATGTTAATTTCTGGGAGGGTTAAGCCGTGGGCGCATCCTGGCCAGAGGGTACCTAAGCCTTCCAAGTGCCCCCCCGTCATGGTTTCCTCCCAATTTATCTCCCCATTCCCTTTCTGTGGGGTTCTACAGCAAATAATCGCTTCTTTTCCCGTCTGAGAGCGGCGTTTTCTCCCCGTGTCCTCCTACGAGCTGAGCGAGCTTTAAATCCTTTCGAAATGCGCGGGCTAAGGATCATTGGAGCCCGGGATGAGGGGTGGGAGTAAGCAGCCTGCCCTAGAAGATCGGTTCATTCTTAGAGATTCTCTGTGCATAACCTTGGGTGGGGAGGGTGGGGGAGGTGGGAGTTTTTGCTGGTTTTAAGTTCGGGCCATGAAAGTTGTATCTTGTTTCTTATGTCCAGAGAAGAGCTGGGCAGGGGGTGTTTCTAAGAGAACAATATAAACCCCCAAAGCATCTACAGACGACGGCAAGGTTTTATTTCCTTGGCCTTTCTAGTGGACTTATGGCGAGGCTCGCCTTCCAGCTCTCAGTCCCTGGAAGCAATAAATACGCAGGGGGAGAGGGAGACTAGGGTTCGAGAGGGGCACCAGGCCAGTTGGCTGGAGGAGCGCTCGGCTAAAAGAGTGATTTTCTGTTGTCACCCGCCCAGTCAATTTGCCGTACCTACTACGTTCTATTGGCAGTCCTCCGTACCTTAGGGATGACCAGTTATAAGAGTCGAATGTAATAGTGACCAGTATCGCTGTAGGGAAAGAAAAGATGTCAGCCACCACTGACCCGAGCGATGTCCGCAGCGGGCTCCGGGGAGGTCGCTCGCGGGTTACTTACTGCAGCCCGGGGAAAAGCAGCCGACAGTTAGCCGGCCGGGCGGATTTTAAATTCGAATTCTTGGTACAGGCGCGTAAAGGGGAAGCAGTTGTAGTTGCTCTTGGCGCTATGTTCCAGTAAATTTGACTGGCACAGCTAGCACCCATTTTTCTTCGATTGGTCACCCCCAAATCTTCGAGTTATGTGGCTTGTCGACGCAAGAACTTGGATACTTAGAGAGGACACTACTGCAAACTCCTCTCCCCTTCCTTTCTCGCGCCACCACTCCTCCTAAGAGCTGGTAGCAAACAGACCTGGTAGAATTTTTTAAAACCTTACTGTTTGATAGTTAGACATTCTTGGATAAGCCGTCTTTTATTTAAGTGGAGGCAAGAGTTCTGAAGCATACTACGGGATTCCTCAGCAAAATAAGGTACCTAAAATGTAAATATCAATTTTCGAGTTGACAAGCAATTATATATGAGGTTAAAGTTTAAATTGTGATTTTAAATTTTAAATTATTGTTGCTTACTTTGAAGAATATAATGCCAAATATAAATATGTTCTATTTGGTATGGGAAATGATGTTTTACATTTTTTTTTCAGTTGTGTTTGAATTAAGATTTTTAAATGTATATACACATATATATTTCTAAACTAAAGGATTTTTCTTTCAAATAAAAAGTTGTATCATCTCACAGGTCAACTTCACTATCTAATGATCCATACTATGTCAGTAGCAGGGAATGGTGTTTTTTCTAGGGGCCTAATCGGTTCACCTAAATGGAATTTTATTTTAATTATGCTACAGGACTTTCGAGTTCTTATTTTGCCACTAACTAAAGATGTGACCATGGACAATTATTCCACCTCTCTGGGCCTCAGTTTTCTCATTTATAAAATGACATTGTTGGACTAGATGCTAAGGCCCTTTCCAGTCCTAAAATGCTTTGGTGTATTTTACAGTAGTTTAATTATCAACAATGTTTTATGTATTGTGCAGAATTCTCTGCTAATTTAAGAAATAAGAATCTTGTCCCAGTTCAGAAAACCTCAGTACTTGTATTAAAGTTTTAATTTATTACCTTTTCTGGGCTCAGCACTGAATTGTGTTATGAGGAATGGAGGTTATCTCTTACTTGTTAAAAATAAGGAAAATGGTTCGAAACAGGGAGAGGTGGCTAGCACAGTGTTCCAGGAATGGAGTACTGTGGAACTTGAATTGGGCCTTGAAGGATGATGAGGATTTGGCTGGCCAGAAGGGAAAAGGGGAACAGTCTGAGCAGATTCTTATGTAGTCCATTAATGGGATCAAAATTAAGAATAAAAAAACTAGATTCTTCCAAGAAGAAGAATTTTTTTTAAATAAAATGAACAATTTTCTATTTTCCCTTAAGCCATAATTAAAATCTCAGGAAAGAATAATACACACTAATTTTTAAGGGCTTTGAAAACTTTAAATGGGGATTAACATTCAAGTCTCTAGGTAGTGGTGTAAATAAAAAGGAGAGGAAGGATGGGGAATTACCTGCTGTTGACAGTTTTGTTCATAGAGGGCTAGAATTTTAAAGCTTGAAGAGGCTTTAGAGATCTAGTCCATTCCCTTCATTTTACAGATGAGGCAACTGAGGCCTAGAGATGATTAGTGAAGTATTTGAATCGCCTGATCAATTCCAATGCTTTGATTCTTGTTTCTTCATAATAGTGATCAATGGAACAACTGACGAAGAAAGGGGAACAATGCAAAATTTTTCCATGGATTTGCAATTAAAATCTTCCTGGGTAATAAACCCAATCATAAGTTGGAATGTCCTCTTTGAGAGGACATCTCTTAAGAAAAGCTATACCTAAGAGATCATTCAGTGGAGGAAGATTGTAATTTTTTTTCTTAATCTCTAGAGAAGGTAATTATACAATCTCCATCAAAATATTGTATTTTCTTGTCTCTTACTCCCAAGGAAGGCCTTCCAAATATTTAGCATAAATCTTTCCTATAAGACCAAGCCCCTTTTCTCTTGGGTTAAATTGAACACCTAACACAGTGCCTTGTCCTTGGGCTGATATGAAAAAGAGTTATGACTCCCTCACTCCCTCACACCAACAAGAATTTAGTTGATGAGGCCTAGAGAGTTGTCTCAAAGCTCTTCTGGGGTCACAAAGCTAGCATCAGAGACCCAAATTGAATCCAGGTCTTATTTCTGCATAATAAGTAGGCACTTAATGTTTGGTGAGTTAAATTCTAATTACTGCAGTCAAGTAAGTGTTTTCAGAATGTATTTCACTTCTATTAATGGGGAAGGGATGAAAAAAGAGGGATATTGATCAAAACATTGTATTTGTGGTGGTAGTTAAACTTTTAAAGTAATATGAAAAAAATGGGCAAGATATGAATCACATGGTAAAACATTAATAATATTCAGATTATTACCTGATTTCCAAGGAAGAACTTTCTATTACTGGATCAATGTCTTGTACCCTACATCTCTGATTAGCCAAAATAGATGTCATCAAGTCTACACACTAACATTCCTGTACCTCATTTATACAAGATTACCACACCCCTTGGAGCAGAATCGTTGAGGTATATTTGTTCTTTTAAACAATTCCAGGAGCTTGGTTATTTCATTTCAGAGATCCTGGCCATGTGGTAATGTGGAAAGAGCACTGGATTTGTCATTAGGGGCCCTGGGTAAAAATCTTGGTTCTCATACTTTAGTACCTGTATGACCTTGGGCAAATCACTTCTCTGGGCCTACTTCCTGGTCTGCAAAATAAATATTGGACCATGTGACCTCTAAGGTGTTTTTTCAAGCTCTAAAAATTGCATGATCCCTCAAACTAAATGGAGAATTAAAACAAGTATATTCTGACCAGCATAGCACTCACTCAAATTTAGGCCTATACTTTTAGGATCCTTTGCCAAATTCATGGTGTGTGTCGATATTAAAGCCACTTCGAAGTACCAGGTGTAATGGCTTCAAGGAACAGCCACATCAGTACAACTCATTTAATAGCTATGGCAGTTTTATTTATTGATTGCTTGATAGGGAACAATTACACATTACAAAAAAGTTATACTTGGCTCAGTAGGCAATACTTTAAGCACAGCCACATTATTTAACAGAAGAAAAAAAATCCCTAAAGCCTACCCAATAGAGCATTTACAAATGCAAAAAACATGCCACTTTGGCTTTTATATCGTCTAGATTTAAAAAAAAATCTTTTAAACATAAATAAGTTAGTATAATTTTCTCAGTGTCTTTACAGTTATGTACACAGGTACACTTTAAAATGTTTCATACACATACAGCAATGTAGAAATACTATTTAAAGATGCAGTATCCATTTCCCTCTTCCACCAGCAACTGTTCCGATCTGTTCTCACCTTCCATCAAACACATCACATTCCTCTGGGTAAAACAGCCAAGACAGAATAAGAAATTTTAAATTAAAAAAGCATTCCATTTTCTTTTACTTTGAATCTCAAGATTTTTTTTTTAAATACCCAGAGAGCATTATTTAGGCCATGTTTACAAGCACAAAACAAGGGAATGTGTGGACAATTTTCTGGCTTATCTGATGAATACAGATTGCCAATTCTGATCATTCAGAACTCATAGTCAATTTTGTTTTTTGCCCGAATTATGTGGATTGTTTGCTTAAGCCTTAATTAACTGGATAATTACTTCACTTTGAAGAGGTTTCCCTTTTATAACCCTCCTTTTAAAAGAGCTTTTGCTCTGACATAATGGACACAACAGAGCTCCAGATTCTTAATAAGTGTAATATAATAAATGGTAATCAGCTGTTGACTGTTTTAATTGTTGCAACTTTTAAAAAAGAAATATCAAATCTCACTGAAAGGGATATTACATCTTTAAAGGAAAAGCTTAACCACCACCCCCAACCCCAAGTTGCTTCTTTTCATGCAAGTCATACATTTATATTCTTGCGATATAATTTGAAGCAAGTTTTCTATTTTCTTCATATCTTAGCCCACCCGCCTGCCTCCCCCCTTTCCCAAAGTTTATGTGCTACATAAAAGATAAAAACTATATACACAGGTAGTACAATGAAGCAAATAAGGAAAAACCTAATTGCATGATGCTACATCCAATGCTTTTAGAGGCACATCTTTTAAGAGTGCCTATCATTTTAGTGTTGTGTTGTTGCTTTTCAGTGCTTAAACAGGAGATCCTTTCCATGAAGTCATCGATATGTATTCTTAAAATTTAATTTATATCTTCCTTGTTTCATCAGGCTCTGGTATATCCAATGAACAAGGACACATTCTTAATTCTGCAAAACAAAAGATTAGGAAGGAAAGTGCATTAAAGGCATTGACACAACTAATTGTAACAGCAGCAAAGTAAATCACTACAGTTGTTAAAAATTATTTTCTCACTGTCTTGCTTGCTCAGTGGCTTGTGAAGTGGGTGGATTATATACACAGGCTAAATGTAGAAGGCTAATAATGACAGATAGATGAGGTCTTCTCTCTAGTCATTCATTCTTCCAAACTGAGATCTGTAAAGACTTTAAGTAGCAAAGCTAATTCAGCTTAGCTTAATTGTATAGCTTATCCTACCACCACTCCATACTATGAAGGAATCTGGAATTATAGGGAATCTACATGGATGATAGGGAAGAAAAGGAGAGATACAGAAGGACAAAACAAATTATAAGGGTAAAAAAAAAAACCAACCCAACAACTCACCTTTATTTGAAAAATGCATAAGAATAAAATGAGAGAAAGCATAGCATAATGGGCCTTGGAGTCCAAGAGATTTAATCCTGGTGGAGACCAGGATTTAAGTTTTGATTTGTAAGTCATTGAAAGTCTCAGTGCCCCAGGCAGCTTTTTTTTTTTAAAGACTGTAAGTTACAGAGATAAGCTGCTGATTTACACTGGTGGAGGAGAACACTGGGAATTGTTCACATGGTTAAATGATCAGTACAAAAAAAATTAATAAGATGCAAAATGTATGTGGTATAGGTAAGCTGTATGAAAATACAGTTGCAGCTCTTCAAGCTACTTCATTCAGCTGAATGTGACCCTGGGCAATATTTTATGGCTGTCTCTTAAGCTAATACGGTAAAATGTTTTAAAGTTCATCCTTGTTTCTTGTGATGGATGTAAGTGTACAGCTGCTTTGTTTGTTTGTTTGAAGTTGCCAGTGTCCCGAGTTAACATTTCTAAAGAGTCTTTGAGTTTGAGAAATCCTGCTTGGTTGAATAAGACAAGACCAAAAATTTATCAGGGTCTGAAACATAAAAACACATGAAAAGAGACTTGGCAGCACTGTAGGTATTGACATCTTCAGGTGAATTAGTAGTCATTAATTTTCATCCAGTTTCCTCCACTATATAGAGAGGTTCTATAAAACCATTTTTCAACAAGCCCTGCAAGTGGGCATTTTGTATTGTGCAGAGGTTATATACGTTTAATTTATGTAAAAAAAGTGGAATGACTTTCGAGGTTAAGAAATAAAAAAAACACCACCTCCCCCCAATTTTAGTGTCCTATATCTCTATATTGTACAGATTCAATCGGCATTCAATAAATGTTTATTGTTCACCTACCATGTGGCAACCAATGGTAAAGAATATAGGGAGGAATGAGACTCAGTTTCTACTCTTAAGCAATTTTCGACAACTAGTAGAATTAGCTGGCCTGAAGAATTAATTAAGGCCCCCTAAAATAAGAGCTTTGGGGACTGAATTATTCCATCTATCTATCTGAATTGATCAGATTCAGCAGATTATAGCAAATCTCCAAGTCCCTGGACCAGATTATTGCAAATCTCCACTTCCCTAGAGCAGGTAGACACAGCCTTAGCTAGCCCTGATATTAATTATTCCTTTTCCCCTTCAAATACCCAAATAGTGAGTTGCTCTAGCACAATTTGCATATACATGCTGACATGTTCCAGATTGCTTACAGGGGGGCAGAATTCATTAACTTTTACTTTGCAGCACTTCAGAGCTGTGGAAAAAACTTTGTGGGTAACTTAATGATTCTGTGTGTTCTTCTGCATAGATAGGTTTGCCTCAGCCTCCAAAAACCCATAAGTGGTGTGACACAAGAAGGATCCAAATAAATGAGTTCCACAGGCCACTTTATCCTATTTCTAACCTCTTCTTCGAATCACTGGAGCTCCGTTTATTCTCAAATGAAAAGATGAAACCATTTCTTTCCCCTTCTTCCCTCTGGGTCCACACAATGCCTTTATTTGAAACCACTGAAAAATGATAAAACCTTAAAACTCCTCTGCTGGGGCACGGAACAACCACAGCCCTTATTCAGAGCTGAAAAAAATCTCATCTTCCAATCAAGTTTTTGTGAGGGCTCATAAGAGGATGATCTCCCTTTCACCAGGAACTACCTCCAGGATAAGAAGACCTCATCCAGGGTGCTACCCTTCACTCTGTAGTAACTGCTTAACTTGTCTAAAGAAAAGACCTGTCTGATGGAGAAAACTTGATGAAACCCAACGACCCTTTCCCTTATGCCTTACCTAGTCTTTCAATCCCACAAAATGTTTTTTGGGGGGGGGGGGGCCTGAAATACCCTTAACAAACTAGCAAACTTCTTATCCATAGAAAACTAATAAATAAAATGTGTTGGAGCTTGCAGAGACTACCAGTTCCAGCAGTGCAGTTTGGTTTCATTTCTGAACCCTAGCTAAGCAACCCACCTAAGTAGTTTACGTTTGATGTCTTCTGAGACTGGGCTTCTTGGGCGTCTGCTCCACTGAACTAGCATTGGGAGAAGTGTCTGAAACCTCTTCTTCAGTAATGTTGGCTCTTTTGTTTTGAGGTGAGACATCTAGCAGGGGAAATTGCGGAGGGGAGGGGGGGAAGACAAGCAACAGATTTTATTAAAAGCATTAGCTAACAAAAGTTAGCCAGGGGAAGAGGGGGAATTCTACCACCACCCACAATCCTGGGTCAATCGCCGATTGTCTTAAAATCCTGAAAATATTGTTGCTATTAACAAAGACCTCCTCCCATGTCCCCGGTACCTATCGAGGGATGATATATCACAGGGATAATTAGGAACATCCTAGCTGCAAGATAATAGTTTGGGTTACTCATACACCTTATGATAGCACACTGGGGGAGGGGACAGGTGTTTTAGGGAGGCGGTGGGTTTTAAACGTTAAGTTTACGGATAAATTTTTACACCGACTGGCAGGAAACTCAACTAGTAGCCTTTAACTTCAAAAGAAATGATAACTAGTTAGATGATAGATAGCACCGGTGCATAAGGTTAATAGCTTCAGCTACCGATGGAAAAGTCAAGAACTGAGCTGGTGTTCTCTAGACACAACTTCGGGGACGGACCTCCAGTAAAGCCAAGGAGTGGCCCAGACAGACCGAGTAAACAAGGGAGGGGTTTGTTTTATTTTAATTTTAAAGGAGCGATTACCATCCGTGGCTGGTCGTTTCCTCGTCTCAGTGCACTGGTCTGCCAAACTCGTCTGGCTTTCGGATGCACCCTCAGTCTTTTGATCTCTTAAGTGGGTGTCCTCTGAGATTCCCTGAGAAGCAATAACAAACCCCGCTTGGCGCACTCCGTTTAGATCCCCACTCTCCTGGCCGGGCCTCTGGCATCTCCCTTTGGGGTTCCGCGGGGGCCTGAAATAAAACTCGGGCAAACTATCTTTCTCCACAGGTTGCCACTCATAACTCCCCTCCAAGGGCTTGTGATTCCGAAAGTCGAAGTTCCACTTGCGCTGGCAGTCTTCCTCGATGTCCCTGCAATGCTTCTTTAAGTCCTGCGTTAAATCTTCATGGTTCACTGGGCCAAAGAGGTTGCGGCAAGCTGAAGGCTTGGGGTACTCCGCCGGCCTGCCTTCCATCCGCTCCAGGGTCGGGCTCCCATCAGAAATACGCACGTTTGACATCGTCCTCCCTCGTCTCCACTCAACTTTTAAAAACGACAACAACAAAAAAATCCGAACACGTAGCCCCTTTTATATAGGTCCCGCGATTCCCGTTCGGGGCCAAGGGAAACCAAACAACCACCAATAATTACACAAGCTTTAGGATCAGTGTTGAGTTTGGGGGAGGGGGCAAGGGGAAGCCCGGGAGAGCCAGCAGAAAAGTCTCCCAGCAGATCAAGTGTAAAGGAGAGAGGGAGGGAGGGACGAAGGGAGGGAGAGGGAGGGGGGAAAGGAGAGAAGGGGAGGGGAGGGGAGGGGGGAATTGGAAAAGCTAGTCCAAGACCAAGCCGGTACGAGCCTGTGGGTTCCCCAGACTGAGCCGCGGAGGAAACAGAACAGAACAAAATAAAAACACCTGGCTGATCTCAACAGTCGTGGTGTAAAAAGAGACTGGGGAAGGGAAGGAATATAAAAAGACACCCCGAAAAGCCGAGCACTTTTTTTTTAGTTGCCCAATATGGCGGTGGAAGGGAGGCTGAAGAAGGAGAAAATGATTGACATAGCAAATCTATTTAAACAGAGAAAGAGAAACCATTGGCTGTGGCGTCGGGAGCCACCCCGCGGAGGCTGGCTTGCTGGGCTTAGGCGCTTTGCCTTAAGGTAGTCCGGGCGCAGTTCTGGTAGACATCTCTCGGCGCTACCGAAATCGTGGCGACTTGCAAAGGCGAAGAATGGGACTTGTGCGATCGCGAGGTATCGGGGGTGGGGAGATGGGGGGAGGGTCTGGAGTAAGCAACACTCTCAGGCCACTGTTTGAGAAATTAAAAGTCAAAAATAAATAACATAAATTGGAAGTTAATGGAGTTAGGCGAGCGCAGCTATTCCTTCGGTTCGGATCGTGCTCTTCCTAGTTTCACCGACTGGGGGAGATAGCGGAGACCGCGGGAAGGAGGCTGGTTCCATACAGTTTGTTTGATACCTAAAAGATCTGCTCATCCTGCTCGGTGGTACCCCCTCCAGGTTGGGCTGCGAAGGTCAGAAAACGTAAAGGATATGAAAGTCGCCTGCCAGAATTGGAGGGGGAGAGAGAGGGAGGCGACGGGGCTCGGAATTCGGAGTAGTGAGCCAGCTTGGCGCTCAAGCTCATCTGGGAAGCTCCGTAGCTTGTACCGACGTCTCCCTTCTAGAGCAGCTTGATAAGGAGCGGAGGGGCCAGGGGGATCAGGGAAGTAAACAAAAGTTAACTTTTCCCAGAAAAGTCAGGGGTAGTGAGCAGAGCTTGGGTGACTAGAGTGTTTAGAAGTCCATGTATAGGAAAGAGGAAAAAAAGCTGGGAAACAATAGATAAAAAGAGGTCAAGTAAGAATCATCTAGAGCTAATCCCAAGATCAAAGGTTTTGCAGCTCTCCCTACTCGAGTCCAGGAAAGACGATGTTCTTATAAATGTAGAAACCTGTTTCTGTCTCTTTAAATTCTTCAACCGTTTGCCAGGCTGTAGCAATTTCCTCCACCTGAGACCAGCCACTAGCCAACAATATCCTCTCCTCCACCAACTGTTCCCTCATCGCTTTCTTCTCTTTTCCCTATTCTCACTATTCCCCCCCAAAAAAAAAAATCCTCACCATCTGCAGCAGCTCACCCAGGATAAAAATTTCAGATGCAAGCGAAAGTAATACTGCAAATTACTGTTAAGATGTATATTCTTCTCATTGGACGTGTCTATTGGGATAATTATAAAACTGCTATTACCATGTCAACTCATCTAAACTAGAGATTATTTGGATACTTTCCCAGTTGTTACCCTCTGCAACACTGGCGCTCAAAAACAGCATTTTTTTCCCCAGCCAGTGCTCAGGAAGTTAGAACAGGAAAATGGAAGGGGGTGAGGGGGAAGGTGGGACAGAGGCCAGATTTGATCACAAAACAAGAGGTTTTGAATAAATGCCTCCACTCCATATACCGATTTCTTTATATAGGCCAGTTAATGTATTTCAGTATCATCGGAGGCCACCTACCTTGACCTTTAGGGTAGCATCAGGTTTTAAGTCTGCTTTGGAAGAGTTTGATGTGAAACTTGTGCCTAGTCATAGGTGTGTCTGATTCTTGAATTTTTCAGGTGATGTGACCTCTGCTTTTCTTTCTTGTGGGCATCTTTTGGCCTTTTTTCCCCCAGGGCAGTGAGGAGGGAGGGAGGATGTGGGGGAGCATTTGCTCCCTCTAGCAGAGAAAAGATTGGCTTATTTTGGCTGGAGTGTTACTTCTTTGCTGTAATAAGAGGTAGTTCTGTGGATGGCCTCCAAATAGCCTGAGTTATCTTATGATTCTGTGGATTATAGTCCAGCAGTTCAAGTAGACAGGAAATACCAAAGAAACAGCACAACACTCAGAGAACAGGTGTAGGAGTCAGTGACAGAAGACAGGAGAAATTCTGTGCAATTTCCAAACATGCAAGATGTTTCTTTTTTTGTTGTTGTTCTTATTCTAAACTTGATGTACACCAACAAACCTGAACATTTTCTTACACAAAGAAAAAGAGGAAAAAAAAACATTGCTTATGAAACCATGAGTCAAATATACATGGGTTGGTTTGTTTTTTAACATATACTTATTTCATCACCTTACTTCCAAAAGCTGTTTTGATTGTGTGTCATTCTAAACCTTCTGTTCTCTCCTGGCCATTTGAAATTAATGATTGACATTCTTTTCTTTCTTTTTCTCCTTACTTCTTAACAGTAATCCTACTCTACTCCACAACTCCCCTTTCCGAATTAAAAAAGAAAACAAAACCTTCTCTTGTAATAAACAAAACAGATCCATCCAAAATAGATATTGACTACGTTGTGTCCCATTCTGTACCTCTAATCCATTCACCTCTCTTTCAGAAGGTACAAGGCGCATTTCATCTTCTGTCTTATGGAGTCATGGTTGGTCAAGTCCTTCAAAGTTGTTTTTCTTTACAATTTTGTAATCACTGTTTAATTTGCTCTTCTAGTACTGCTTATTTTACTCTGTATCAGTTCATATCTCTTTGGTAAGTTTCTCTGAAACCTTCCAGATCATCATTTCCCATGACCTGATAACATTCCATTATGTTTAAAAAAGATTTTTGTTCAACCATTCCCCCAACTGATGGGCTTCTAGTTCATCGATACAAAGACAAATACTGCTATGAATATGTACATATGAATTCTTTCCATCTTTCTTTTATCTCTTCAGGATATATACCTATTTGAGGTATATCTGAGTCAAAGCGTATGCACAGTTTAGTGACAAATGTGATTTTTAAAGAGAATTTTCTGCCTATTGTCAAAGGAGAGTTCATACTCTGTAAGTAGAAAATCTTCAAAACCTACTGCCTTCAGTGTTTCCATGTGTATGCCTCATACATATACTTTACATGTGTAAGGCCCACCTCCTCCTCTCACCCTGTCTATGTCTCAGAAACTCTTTGGTAGAGACTGGAAAGGTCAGGAGGATGGAGCTTGATAGTCTGGGCCAACCATGTCACCTACAGTTGCATGCAAATTAAAAAAAAACCTGAAGAAATCAACCAAGAAAGCAAGGTAATTCTAATCTTTTATGCTTGCTCCTTTTCTAAAGGTGGTAGATATATTTTAACTTTTACAATTTCTGTTATTGCTGGTTCCTTTGGGAGACATTTTTAATGACAGTTATATTAATAATATTTCTGCCCTGCTCTAAAATTAACATGTCTGTTATAGTTAGTCTCTGAAAGCTCAAATTAGGATCATTCCACCTTAAGAAACTCAAACTGCCTACAGAAAGGTTGTATCTTTGGGGGAACTCTATAAAGTGTTTTTTAAAGTCAAGGCACACACATCTGTGTGGCCCGTAATGAGCAGCCAAGACCTCTGTTTTAGTGACATAGAAGCATTTAAAAAATACTATGGAGCTCCCAGGAAAAGGGAATCTGAAATGATCAGAGTACCATTCTTCTCCATAAAGAAAAGGAAAGAAAGGAAAATATTTTTCAGGAAAACAGTCCACTATGACTTCCATGTGTCCCAGGGGCCCTCAAAGACTCTAAGTTCACACAGACCCAGGTCTGATCTGGGGGACTGAGCCCAAAGGGTTAGGGTTATTGATCTTTGCTACCACTCTGGAGTTTTTACTCTGGGAAAAATTTGAAGAAAGCTTAAATGTAGCTCACATAGCCTCCTCAAATGTAGGCAACAGTGTCCCCTAGTCCTGTAAGCATTTAATATAAAACAGATATTGAATATGGGGCAGCCTTTATTTCACCATCTACATAAAATTCTTAAGATGCAAAAGATTCACAGGAATCCAGGTATAGATACATAAAGCACTCAAAACACCCATTAGATTGCCCCACCCTAGAAGGTAAAGATACTTCTGGGGAATCCTAAACAAAAGCACTCCCCATTGGCAGGCTTAGTGGCAGACAGATGCCTGGAGTCCATGCTGCTGGGGAGGCTGAAATTACTGGATCCCTAGAGTTCAGGAGTACTGAACTGCAGTATGGTGAAGGCCAACTAAGTCTGACACCAGTGTGGTGAGCCCCTGGGAACAAGGGACCAAAAGGCTGCCTGGGAAGGGGCAAATGGCCCAGGCTGGAAAATGGAGTAGGTCAAAGCTTCTCTGATGATCAGCCCTGGCGTTGGGCTATGCATGGCTGCTGATCTTTAGTTAGAGAGAGAGAGACAGACAGACATATATACATATGCACATGTATATATGGGTAGATGTGTATGTATATACATGTATGTGTCTATGTGTGCTCCCATCCACCCCTGCTTTGCATGTCTCTAGTCCTCCTGCTGAGCTACAAAGTGATTCTCTATCTCTTCTGTCTTCTCCAGTGTTCACTGTTAGGAAAATCTGTTCCCTCCAGGGCAGTGGTCTCTAAACTTTTGTCTTTGGTATATATGTAAAGAGCTAGCAATACAATATAGGTAAACGGAGCTATTGTACTTGTAATATATATAACAAAATAATGAAAGAATAGCATAGGTCAGTGCCATTGGATAATTAGCAGATGTATCACTAAACATATGCAGTAACATGCAAAATACACACTACATGAATAAACATTAATATTGTAACCATTTACAGTTTCATCTGTAATATTATAAATTAATCTATACACAGGTCAGACATATCTACATTACTCTCTTTTGTAACTTGCTGATTTATGTGCCCCTATACCTGAACTAATAGGTGATATGAGCTGATCATACTCCTTAACATAACTATAGTCTTGCACTCATAAATATGAATTTGTGGAGGGTATGGGTTGGTTCTCATTGTTACTAGGCTTTGTGGGGTGTCTTTTCACACCATGGGTCTGAGTGGCTGAAATTCTAGGCATGAAATGTGGTGCATCTGGGTTCAGTCTATTCCTGTTGTCAAAACTGGGTCCAAGTAAGGCTGTTAGGTTCAGTAAACAGTGTCTTCTTTGCTGGAAATGTCACTTTCAAAGACAGTACCCGCTTTAGACAGTCTTTGCAGCTGGAGGGCAGAGTCCAGTGAGATAAATGTCCGTAACATGTTTCCACTCCTCAGAGAGTCTAACTTTCCTATGGGCAATAAATAGTTGTGATGAATTGTCTTTATAGGGGCCCCACTAGTCTCTCAGGCTATTTTGTAATCAAGCAAGTTACCCAGTGTATGGAGAACCTTCCATTGACCTGCTAATAATGTGTGTTCCTTGAACATCCGAGTATTCTCGTTGAAAGTCTTAATAATGAACTTGGGCATCATCCCATCTTTTCTTTTCTCAGAGTTTTTCTAGCTGAAGACATGGCTAATTGATAGGCATCTCACAGTCAAGAGATATACTGGTTGTAAGTGTTTGCATCCTCTAACATGCCAAAGCACAAGTCAGTAGGTAAGCATGGCTTCCATCCAAACATCAGCAAGTACAGTTATGGCATAATTCCTAGTAGAGTCCTATACATGTACCAGAAGTGCTACATATTTACCCTGAGATTATTGTTCTGATCTCAGAGCTCTTATATGTTCAGTTGAAATGTTCAGGTTATGAGTTTCCTTGGGGATATATCGTAAAGTATAATTCTAGATTTCTTTATACCAACCAGAGTTAGTATTTCCTCGAATAACTTGCTTCCTGAATCTCTCATTTGGCCAAAATAGATCTTGGCATGAAATCCATACTCTAAGAAATATTTCTTCCACAATAGTTTAACGAAACAGGGAATGCTTTCTGGGTCCTGGGAGAATTTGCTTATGCATACGTGGTGAAATGGTAATTCACCAATAATATGTAACATACTCTTGCTGACTTCCAGAGATTAAGAAGCCAATGCAGACAAGTTCCAAATGTTTGCTAGTGCTTATATTCTCCAAATAGGCGACACAAGTTGGTAGTACCCTTCTTTGAACAACCTCAAGTGCAAAGCCCATGCTTCTTAATGGCATGTGCTGCCATGTTAGGCTGATAGAATCTGTCTCTAACTAGTTCCAGGGTCCTTTTCTAATTCATATGTCCAGTCATTATGCAGTTTGTACCAGACATGCTTTGGTCAGTGCTAACCACTTTCTATAACCATCTTGCGGGAAAAATAACAGAACTTGCCCGATACAGCACTGCATTGCATAGCTCCAACTTCTATCTTCACGTCAACAATAAGGTACCCTTTTGTGGGGGAAGTAAAAGAGTGCCTTAGCATCACTGTCTTATTTCTTAGCTTGCATTCCATCTCATAGAACATTATCAGTTATCTGCTTTTACTGCCAGACATCCACAGACAGAAAGTATTGGTTCATTGAAACAATATCTACAGATGCTAGGTGAGCACTTAGGTGGCACAGTGGATAGAGTCTAGAATCAGGAAGACCTGATATCAAATCTGACCTCTAACATTTACTAGCTGTTTAACCCTGGGCAAGTCATTTAACCTCCGTTTGCCTCAGTTTCCTCATCTGTAAAATTAGTATAATAAAAGAACCTACTTTCCCAGGGTTATTGTGAATATCAAATGAGATAACATTTGTAAAGCTCCTAGTACACTGCCTGGCACATAGTAGGTGCCATATAAATGTTATTATTAGCTACTGGCATGTTGTCTAGTAAAGCTATGTAGCCTAGCTTGTCATATGTAGCTTTCGTTCCTTCCTTAGGTATTACCATAGCTTCAGGGGTCTCATGGCCTTTGAGAGAAAGCATCCATGTCCACTTTAGTCTTCCCAGATAGATAGTAAATGCTGAATTCGTAGATGGCCAGTGTTCCTACCCACCTGTAGCAAGCGGCATAAAACTAGGCACTGGTGAGAATATATCAATGGATTGTTATCAGTTTGTACTTATAGTCTTGCTCCACTTATATATTCTCCACTTATATATTCTTTGATCTTTTCAGTAACAACCAAGAAGTCCAGTTTGTAGATGGAAGGATGAGTCTTGCTGTCTATCAATAAGGCCTCTACTGGCAAATGCAGCTGGTTTCTAGTGACCATCACTCTCTTGATATAGGACTGCTCTCAAGGTCTCCAGGTTGACATGGAAGACAAAAGACTTCTTTGGATCTATACAACCACACATTGGTGCTTACAGGGGGCAGTTAACTAACAATAATTTGGTCAGATTTGTCCATCTATCACTCACCAAATGGCTTAAAGTATTTTAGGAAAATTTGGTCTTATACTACTGCAAAAATACATTATGGACAATATAAAACATGCACAAAATAGATATTTTAAAAGACAAGATAAAGATGAAATAAATGTGATTTTTAAGTAATTAAATTTGTTAATGATACAAAATCCTTTTTTTGTTCTAAAATAATATGACAAAAATATTTTCTTGAGAGGATTGAGTATGCTTTATTACTTTTGAAAATCTAGGTTCAACACTTCATGATAATGATTTAAAGCATTGGTTTAAAATTATGTTTGCATCAGTATTTGATTTTAATAGCTGCCATAGCTGAAAAAGATACCTCCCAAAAGTATATTCATCCAAATGGAAGAATTCTACCATTGGCTAAATTTGCATAATAGTTATTTTTCAAACCTATCCACCTGTTATGCAAAAGTTTTTAGTAAACTGAGCCAGTTAATTTCTATCTTGATATGTTGTTTTGCTATATCCTGATATACAACTGATTTCAGTTGTTTTTAACTTGAAAACCAATCAAAAGGTGTTTCATTTGTACACTTTTAATTAGCAAACGGGGTCAAAATTTAGTGAAACTCTTTATTTGTAATATTCTTAAATAGGTTAGAAAATTGTTTTTAAGTTTTTTGGGTATAAAGATGAGTTTTCATAGGTGACAATTCCATTGTTTTGGGCAACGGTTACATAGTGATAGAAACGTTTTCAAACATAGGGCATTTTCAAAATGTCCTATGTATAGTATGACTTTCTTTGGAAAAGCATTGACTTTCTCACTCATTCTTAAAATGTCACCTTTACCATGAAGTGACAAATTGATTTCTATAATTTATTAATCTATATCTTTTTAAGTAAACATTTATTTTTTTAATCTGCAGAGTAGCATATTAGTCAGTAAACATTTGTTAAGTGCCTTGTCATCACAGAAAAGGTCATCAAATTTGTCATTTTGTAAAAAACAAAAAGTACATAGCATCTTTAAAGGTGACAGTTCTTTAAAGCACTTTGCCAAGTGATAAATGTGTGCTTGTGTGTGTGTGTGTGTGTGTGTGTGTGTGTGTGTGTGTGTGTGTATTCCTACCTACTGCCTATCTCATTAGGAAATATTGTAAATATTTTACTATTTAAAGGAGCTACTTTGATACAAATTAACCATATTGGGGACATCCTATCGTACTTTGTACACTTTTGTAATGGCTTGCTTGTAAATGATGCCATGAATGAATTTCACAGGTGATGTTCTCTCTGCTAGGATCCTTTATTTATTCCACTCAAATCAACCACTCCATCAGTGGCTGTGGTTATATAGTTTTCTTGTAAAACATCGTTTATGTTAGAGAAGTAACGTACTGTTAAGAATATCTCTTTTCTACTGTATCTCTCCCTTAGTGGCTTCCTCCCAAAAAGAGTTCTTCATGTATTTTATAGTTGAAACAATATAGCAGATGCCAAAAACCTCAGACATGCTAGAAACATCTGTACTTTTATCCAGCTTTATAGCAAAGCTCGCATGCTGTAATTTGAATACTTGCTTCTTCAAATCTTTGACATTGTTTTCCGTGTGTTTGCCAACAGTATTGGTTAACAAAAGAACACATTTTAATTTCTCACCGTATTGTTTTCCTTATATTATTTCAGCCATTTTTACCATAGCATGAAGAACAAGTGTTTCTCCAATGGTGTGGCTTTTTGTCTTTCATTGTTTTATAAGGACCCCTCCAAAGAGGCTTCTAAATATTTATCATTGAGGTTAGGAAAATTTTTGAAGTACTAGATTATTATATGGCTTTAAATATTGCTGGGAATTTTGTAGACTTTGTCTTTGTGCAATGCATGCTTGGTTTTCAAAATGTTTTGCTAATTATTATGTCTTCCTACTATGACTAGCTAATATCTCAAGGCTTAATATACACTTAAGATGAAGTTCATAATTAATGATAGTGGATGTAAATCCATATTTCAAATAATCTTGATAATTTTTACTTGCCAGACCCAATTCAGTCAACATTATTTTTTCTTCGTAGTACATCTGTCAAGGAGTTGCTACTTGGGGTAGAAATGTCAGCCTTACTGTTGTTTGATCATGCTTATGTATTATCTTCAATCTGGGGTTTCTTTTCAGAAATCTTTTAAGGCTACTTATCCACTAGTTTAGTCCAAGTGATATAACCTGCAAATCCACTTAACCTGACAAATGTAAATTGAAATAATTCACAATACGCTAAAATAAAGTTGAGTGAAATGACCAAAAGTTGAAGTTAAAGTGAAGTCCCAAAACACCTCAGCTTTGTGGAACTCTAATTCTTCCCATCAGGATACTTTTCTTACTACATGTGACATGTACCCATCAGAAAACAATTGGTTTCTGAGCTCATAGAGACCAACTGAGGGCACCAGTGTCAATCTAGAAATTTCTTATTTTTAGAGGGGAAAAAAAGCAAACGTTTAAAATTAAACTTAGCAATTTGAGAAATTGCTGCTTTTATAGTACCTATAAGCCAGAATAACTTCATAGGCATGATGATTTCACCTTTAAAATATTCCCAGTGGATAGGGTAGACTTTTTAAGTAATTGGTAGTAATTCACTGTCCTATTAATTTATTCTGTGTAGCTAACCAACTAGATGAATTTCAGTAATGAAAAATGACTCTTTCCAAAAAGGAAACTCAAACAGGCCAGGGTCTTAATCAGTGGCTGGCTGCTTCCATAGAGTGTAGAACCAGCCAAGATGAGTTCACTACCAACTTGATGCCACATAGAAACACCAGGAGAATGTACGTTGTAGGTGGGAAGGGGAATTTTCCCATTGGTGCCTGTATAACTACATGTTACTGGGTTGCAGATATCACCACCTGGAGCATCTGAAACCCAGTGTGAAAGGGAATAGGTAAGGCACTTATGTAGACAGCGGGACACACAGGAGGGGGAAGTGTTGGGCAACAAGTGTTCCGTAGTAGTTTTTGAGACATAGGTTTCAATTGGTTACCAAGTTGAGGGTAGGATGTGACTTATCTTCTAATTGATTGGTGCCATATACCTATGGATCGTCTTGTACACTTCCTAGGGTACACACAACAAGTGCTCTGAGGAGGCTGGTGCTTGAATAATCAAACTTAGAAATTCTTGATCTGTAGGGAACTTTTAAACATGCATAGAAAGATAGTTCTCATGAATTCTAGTTTCTGACCCCTATTAAGAAAAGAAAACAGAAAGACAGAAGACATTCAGGAAATGTAAGTCCCAAACTATTCTCAGGTTTACATGGGCAAATAATAGGCCGCTTGCTATCTGCTTCTGCAAGTATTTTTTGCTGGGGGTGGGTTGCAAAGAAATAAAATTTCTCTCCTTTTTCCGTTTTACTTGTAGCATTGAAAAGAAAAATGAGCCATTGCACAGCTCAGTCTAGATTCTAGAGTAGGGGGGAAAGCATGGCATCTCTGACAAGTATCTATCCTCCCTGATTCTATAGCCAGTGATTTTGGAAGCAACTCAGGTCACTGGGACCAATTAGCATACTCTCACAGCAAGAAGCTAGGATATCTGTCTACATCTATGAGAGGTACCCTTCCAGCAAAGGAGGTATCCTTCCAGATCTCATCAAGTGGATTGGTAGAACTCATCAAATCGACCAAGGATTCCCCTGATCACTTACCTTATACAAGTGGATTCACAGAGAAGTTCTGTCCAAGGTCCTGGTTGAAGATAGCTCTATGAACTGAAAAGGTAAATTCCCCTACTCTCCTGAGCAATGAATTCATAAACCAGTTCATCATCCCAGTCACAGATCTGTCCTGATCTTCTCAGGAGTTGAACTAGAGTATGTCACTCACTGAAGCCTCAAGAAAAAGATGAAAGGAATATAGGTATCTCTCCCACTAAGCCTGACTTGAGCCAGTTTCCTGGTGTTTTAGATTCGGTGTTGGAATTTGTATTTGTTATTTGATTGTAAGCTCATTGAGGTCAGGGACAGTCTTTTGCCTCTTTGTTTTATCTCTTGTGCTTAGTACAGTGCCTGGCACATAATAAGCACTTAATGTTTATTGCTTGGGATTTACTTAGCCATAGAAGGAGAAGATTATTCTATAAGAATAGGTGTTGAGGTCACCTATAATTTATTCTGTTGAATAAAGCTGCCTTGCTTGAGATGCCCGTTGCTTTCCACCAGCCAATCATCAAAGAGCATGCCTGGAGTTCCTCATGCCTGTTTTGTACTCAGATGACCAAGAAAGGACATCAACAGTCTGAGCCAACCAGATATCCAGGATGGTCTCAAAAACTTTTAAGGAAAAACTAGGCTAACTTGCATGGGGTTAGGATAGTGCTACTACACTCCACCCATTGCGGGGAAGGTCTTAAAGCCTTCTAAAGGATTTTTTATAACTTAAATGACTTTAAGACCATTACTGACAAGCCCTGATTTTTGATATTTAAGAAGCCAGATATAGATAGTGATAAAGGAGGAAATAAAGAACTACAATAAAAACACATCAAAACTACAAAACAGTAGTGATTAAATCTGGGAGAGTCCCAGGTCTATACAATTCAGTTTATGTGATGGATGTAAAATCTTTATAGTTCATTGTGGGTCTCACAGTGTAAAAATATGACTGACCATAAGCAGGAGGACTGGAAATATCAGGGCTACAGAAAAGATGATGGCACTTTCCTGAATAGTCACTGATCCTCACCAGAGTTTAGGAAGAATTACTCAGTACCACCACAAACTTAGTGTTTCCTGGACCATGAGCCAGGGTCTCTCCCTTCCTGGGAATCCTGTGGTGATAGGGCAGGGGTGGGGGAAGTCACAACACTCTTTGCCCAATGAGAGGCCTCTAAGGAACTGCCTGCCTTGTTTTTGTGGGTTGGTTGAACATTTTCAACTCTTTTCTTGCCAAAAAAGCAAACACCCTCCCAACAGTGCCACCCCTTGGTCCACCAAACCCTCTCTGGGGAGTTGGACAATGATTACTGGGTGTAATTAAGAGTCAGTCATTTCCAGATTATAATAAGGCTAAACGAACTTACCTTTTGCCGTTGTTCATGCCAGATCCTGGAACTGCTTCCCTCACACCACTGCTGGCATCTTTGTCTCTGCCTGCTTTTCCAAAGTTAGTTGCTACTGTCCTGTGCCCTGGCCTGAATGGTGTCTGAGGTGCTGCCACTGTTCCCCTGCCCCAGAGGACAGATACCACTACTGGGGCCAGAACTCTGTTGCCCTGTGCTGATCCTTGAAAGCATTGCCCCACTGTGCTCAGCAGGAGTGCTTCTGGTGCTGTTACTGCTGGGACCTGACTCTGACCTCCTGTGCTGGGGGAAGGTCATGAAGTCACACAAAAAGCCACACACACACACACACACACACAAAAGGGCTAGAGACACTTCTAGAACAGTATTTGCCATGTGCACACTATCCATTTCTATTAGAGTTGAGGAAATGCACCTGAGTCCTGAGATGTGCATTCTGCAGGAGCCCCTTACTGGAAGCTCTACAGAAAGTTACAATTTACAGCTCATAGTTCAAGGGCAAGAATGGGAACTTTTTAACTGATGCAGCACCTCTGCCTGTCCCCAGCTAATTAAATTGAGGTGCAATTGGCACAACTGTCAATACCCTCAATTCCAAAAATATCTGGGTCCCTAGGGAGAATGAAGTATTGTCCTTTCAAGTGCCTTCCTTAATGGCTTGCAACAAAGAATCACCACAAAATCCATGTAATAAAATTTGGGTTGGCCTCTCAAATTACAGATTAAAAAGACAAAACTCAGCCTGGTTATTAGACGCTTCTAAAATTTCAGGGATCTGCCTTGGATTGCATTCTCTCGCTGTCAATGAGAGGCCATCCCTCAATGCCTGGTTATGTCCCTATACAATTAAAGGACTTAAGACTATGCTTCAGCTTCATTGTAACTTCCAAGAAGTCATTCAAAACCAAAAGTTCTTTCCCTATCCACATAAAAACATAATTCTTTTAAAACCAGGAGGGCCCTTCTTTCAGTAGGACTTCCCCAAGGTAATTGGGAGATGATGACTATTCGAAATACAAAAGCAAACACAACTCATTCTTCTGAAATCATCCTTTTCTAATGAAAAGGAAATCTCTGTCAGTGTCCCAGAATACAGTTCTTTTAGGTTTTTCTGAAGATTAACTGAGTTCTGAAGAGCAATCCTTAGTAAAACCTGGAGGAGTTTTAAATTACCAGCCTGGAAGGTTCAACCCAGGCACAGGGCCTAAAAGCCAGCTTACTGCAATTATTTTCAAGATACAGTTCTTAAGAACACGGCACATGGTCTGTCTCCTTGCAGAAAGAATATCCCAAGAGGGGAAGGCGCATCAGCATAAATAACCATTTCTAGAGGTATCACCAAAATCACCACCAGATGAATACAGATCCCAGTTCACCTTCTGTACTGACCATTCTCCCTTTTAAGGAGCTCATTACATTCTAAGCCCACATGACTACACTGGTCATTCTAGATTGGGCCTGATTCTAGCCAGTTCGCTGGGAGTTTAGTTTCCATATTGGAACAAAGTAAAGCACTCATAAGTCATTCAATAATTAACAAAAAAGATTTACTTAACCCATGTGGGAGAAAGATACTGAACCAAAATATGTATTGAGGAAACCTCAATTGGATTCAGCTGATCAAAGCACCCCTGCCTGAGTGGCCCATTGTTTTCCATCAGCCAAGCCTTAGAGAGTAAGCCAGGAGATCCATGTGGCTGTTTTGTACTCAGGTGTCCAGGAAGTGATGTCAGTGGTCTGAGCCCTTACTCCCCTGCGTCAACCAAATTTCCAGGATAGTCTCAATACCTTTTAAGGAAAACTAGCTTAACTTGGAAAGAGAAGGAGGAGTTAGGATTTTGCTCTTACCACATTCCCTTTTAAGAACAACACTACCAATTCAGCAGTCTTCACTGAGGCAATGGGGAACTTCCCAAGTGTAATAGTCACATTGACCTAGTACCTATTTATGTGAGTATGAATGATACTCCTAGTTCACAGACTAATCACAGAGGTTGAGAGTTGCAAGAGACTTCAATGACCCTCTAGTTGGTCCAGCTCCTGAAAGAGAATTCCTGCTACCATACACTTGATGAGAGGTTATCCAGCATTTCCCTGAAGACCTCCCACTACTTCCTGAAGCCAGATATTCCATTTTTAGATGACTCTAATTGTTAGGAAGTTTTGCTTTATAGCAAACCTAAATCTCTGCAGCTTCTGCCCTCTGGCCTAATTAGAGCCAATCAAATCACTCTTTTACGTGATTGCCTTTAATATAATTGAAAACAGCTACCATGACTCCCCTGTGTCTTCTTTTCTCCAGGATAAAAATTCCCGGTTCCTTCAACTAATCCATATTTGTCATGGACTCAAGGCTTTTCACAATTTTAGTTGTCATCTGTTTTTGCAGCTTATCAATATACTATGTGGTCCAGGGGCTTCAACAGTGGAATCTAACTCAAGACACTGGCTTATTCCAGGTGGTGGGTTATCTTTGACACTGGCCTTACCCCAGTATAATTCCAAGAAAATCTCCTATACAAGACTTGGATGTAGTTCATGTTTAGGTTCTCCCTAAAATATGGGTAAGAGGATTCCTTTTAGGAAAAGTATTTAGCAAACAGTTTGGGTATCAAGTTGTAATAGGACCCTCATTTCCCTGATTCGGCTTCTTTCCTCCCATCCATAAGATGGGGAGACTTTATATAAAAGAAGACAGAGTTGTTTCTGGGACCTGACCTGATTGGCCCCTGCTTCCCTGAGGTAGTTTCCTCATCGACTCGGTATATAAAATGTCATAGGAATGTGGAATCTTGGTCTGTCTGACTTAATGTGTACCCAAGACCACATGAGTCACCATATCATGAGAGGCCAACCCAAATTTTACTACATGGACCATCACACCTTTCTAGACGGAGTTGAGAGGTACCACCTCCAGAAAAATTAAGTGCCACTGTATCCTTGTTTCACATTACTGTTTTAGGGCAAAGTAAATCTCTTTCCTTAAAAGTCCAATGGCTTTCAAGTGCCTCATTTCATCCTAACATCAAACCTGAACTGAGAGGATGCTGGCATTAGAGTCATCCCTCCAACATAAGTATAGGACAGTTGTCTGTTTCTTAAACCACAGAACCAGCACATGAGGCAACAAGACTCAAAAATCCTAATGAACAGATAGAGAAAACTTCCCAGAAAGTAAAGATAGCCTGTGATAGGACCATTAGATTTCAAGCTCCTTGAAAGCAGAGACTACTTTGCCTTTTTTGTATCCTCAGTTCAAGTTAGTGCTTAATAAATGCTTGTGGGTTTGACTTGATTTACCCAACATCTGCCAGGGGTCCCCTTCCCCTTAGTAAAAATTAGGCTAGTTTTTCTTTAATATGTGACAAAGCTGTTGCCTGGGACGTGATGGGGAGTGGGAGGGAAGAGGGTAAAAGATTACACCACGCTTTCCTAAATGCAGCTTTCTGGTTTACTCTGGCCATATTGACATGGCTTCCTGGTCACCTAAGGAAACAAAAAAGGCCTATTTGTGGTCAGGGTCCCCCAGATTTGGAAAATGTCACAACACATTACAAAGCATTATTAAATGCCATTACACCCTGTCCTGCTAACCAAATGAATTTCCACATGGAGATAAGAGGGTGAGAAGGCTGCATCCACTCAAGCTGAGTGCTGGAATACTGGAGTATCCTTGTTGAATATCCTTTCTATGCTAT